CAGAAGGGATCAGGACAGAGCAGCTGTTTGGGACTCATCTTGCTTTTGTCTCCATTGAACCTGTTGTGACTTTGATTTGCACCAATGCAGAGAAACTGATTCACAATCACTTTTTCTTTGAAATTGACAGATTGATCTCTGAAGTTTAACTTTACACTGGGAACATTAAGGTTCCCTCACTTTACTGAGCTGTTTAGATGTAACTGAGCAGTTTATGTGTATATCAACTCCCTGCACCTGTCACCGGGGCTGGCATGGGTTAGCTGCCCATACTGGCAGGATCCACTACAAATTGGTATTCGGAGAGACCCATTAATGGCTACAAAAGAAACTAAACAAAAATTACCCCCAGAGTCGGCAAGAGTGGGGGCGGAAGACGACTCACTAACAGACCACATGGCTAATGATTCTGGAATGGAAACGACAAAGAGGAAGGCAAGCACAATTCAAGAAGCTAACATGACATATTCAGACAAGGGGCTCCAGGTGTTTCCCTGTGGCTGAGGAAAGATAACTTCAGCAAAGGGCCTAAAAATACACCAGGGAAAGACAAAGTGGCTGATCGAAAAGAGCAGGGATCTTGCAGTACTTTCTTAGAAGTCAAATAAGTCAGTCGAGTAAAGTCCAGCGACCGGACTCAACCCAAATTTCGCAGGACATCAGTCCCCCCCCCGTATCTGAGGAAGTTATCTCAAGCACAGAGGCAGAAGAGCCTATAGAGCCCAGTCTATAGGCCCTGACCTAAGCTCCATCCTGGAAAAGATAAAGGGCACAGTTAGGGTTAGGGTTACTAAACTAAACTTGAAAGGATGGGTAACGTCATCTATGGAGTGAACCATTTTGGAGTGACACAGAAAGAACAAATAACACCAACAATGGAAACCAAGTCCAGAAGGCAGCTGGAAATAGAACGCCTGGTACAAGTGAGGAGGCAGCTTAAAAAGCAGTGGAGGAGCAGAAGGAGCGGATTAATATACGGCAAGAGAACAGCAAGAGCCGACTGACAACATATATCTATGTTTTAAAATGGGACAGTGTTTAGTTTAAAAAGGCATAGAGGTAATCATAGTACTTCCATGGTACTGCCATACAATCCAGTAGCCAGTCAGATTTAGCCTTTAGCCTCGAGTTCAGCCTGTATCATTGATCACAGTTATGTCCCTAACATCCACCAGTGACCACTAACACCTGCTAACAGCTACTGGTAGTTGTAACCTAAATTGTGCAGAAGTCCTTCAAACGTACAAAGGACATTCAAAATCTCCTCCTATATTCTCAACACAATGTCGGTGATTGTGGCTAAGGGGTAGAGTGGTCGTCTTCCAACCAGAAAGTCTGTGTTTGATGCCAGTCTTCCACATCTGCATGCCGAAGTGTCCTTGGGCAAGATGCTGAACCCCGAGTTGCCCCTCATAAAAGAAAGTGCTTCTAATAGATGTACTGTATGAATGTGTGTGAATGGGTGATTGTCAAACTATGAAGTGCTTTGTGTCATCTGGGCTAGAAAAGATCTTTATAAATACAAACCATTTCTGTCTGTCTCTCTGTACCTGTCTGTCAGACGGTGAGTCCAGCTGCAGGTGAACATCCTCTTCAGTACAACTACACGTTCTGGTTCAGTAGGAGAACTCCCAGTCGTCCAGCGAGTTCACAGAGCTACGAACAAAACATCAGACAGATCGGAACTGTGGCATCGGTACACACACACACACACACACACACACTTATTTTGCAATCTTATCGCGTTTGAGAAAATTATCTTTGAGGAAAATCTGTATGTTTCAAAATGACTCAATCTGTATCAATAACTGAAAATACTGACTTAGAACAATGTGAACGTTGTATTGGCATCAATAGATTCAGATCGGTAAATGCATAATCAGTGAAACGCCCCCTGCTGGAGACCGCTTTATTTCTACATTGAAGTTTATTTTCCAAAGACATTTACATTGTCATGTTGTGACGTGAGTTACTAACACAGATAGGGATGTTGTGATTTACCGGTTTTATGATAACGTGGTGATTTCATAACCGTAAGAATTATAAAAACTACGATATCTAACTATGGTGTCCTGCCACGTAATTTGAGTACGCGAGCCACTGAACCGTAAGTTCAGAAGAGACACACACACACACACACACACACACACACACACACACACACATCCCTCTCATCCTATTAACCATTATAGATGTAGCTGAGAGTTCAATTCACCTGTACTGAAAAGTAATAGTACAGTGATGACATGAAGAATGAGGCTTGAACCAGGACGCGTTAAGTTTTTCACAACTAGTCAAAATGTCAATCCCATAACAGAACAACTTCCGTTGCTGACCCTTCAAAATAAACCTCCCACACAGATACACAGCTCATGACAGGAAACACAAATTTAGGGACCAACCTTCCACAATAAGGCAACTAAATACAATAGCTTAAATAACTTTTAAATAGATAAATGTTACACTACAAAAACTAACTGGATAAAGTTGATGATACATATTTTAGTTCACAAGCTATATTATTACCTATTAGCTTCATATTGGTTGTTGTGAGTCTTTTTTCTTCTACAGTATCGATAATCATGAAAACTGTGAAGCCGTGATATTTCCTCAGACTACTGTGGCACCAAAAGTTCATATCGTGACGTCACTAAACACAGACCTGATTACTGATATTCAATTACACAGAACTGATAATCAATTCTTTGTTTTTCAGGTGGAGCAGTTTTGGAAGTTTTACAGTCACCTCGTGCGTCCAGGTGATCTGAGCGGACACAGTGACTTCCACTTGTTTAAGGAGGGAATCAAACCCATGTGGGAGGTAAGATAACACCACCTTCTAATCAATAACAGACCTGATCACTGATGATCAATAACCCATTTGAACTAGTGTGGAGTACTGTAGTTCTGTAACACTGTGGAATACTGCGCCGGAAGATGCTGCTGCTAATACTACCATGTTGTTACCACGGCAACCAGATGAAGCTTCATTCATTTCCTCCAAACAGAAAGACTACTACCCCCCTAACTGACAACACGACCACGTAAGGCTGTCCTCAAACCAATCAGAGTCAAGTATAGGTAGACTCCGCCCACATAGGTGATGGTGACAGGATGTACGATGTCAGACTAAATTCTTTAGTCCCTAAATTACAATGTGAAACCAAAACTAACAGATCAAATGAAACTACGCTCAGACTCTAAAGGCAAATTATCAAACCGTTCATCTTGTTCCCATGGTTACTGCACAGGAAAGTCAGCATACCCAAATTAACTCTTTCAGGGTTGAATTGAACTCTTTTGAAGTGTCTGGATGGGATCACACCACAAAGTGTTCATGTGACTCTTTTTGGAGAGTTGGAACCGTAACATGTGATTATTGACTCTTTTTGGAGTTAAAATTTAAAACTTCTTCACTCTAACCAGAGTTAGTTTTTCTCAACATTTGTATAGTGTTAGACATTAACTCCCTCATGGAATCATTTGTTAACTTTACAAATGTTAAACCCATATTAACTCTTATAGGTGTAAAGTTACTTCTTCTTAATTACTCAAATTCATGGGAAAATAAAGTTTGTGTTCAAACAATTAAAAATTTTAATCAGATTAATCACAGGGTAGCTGTAGAATAATAACGATTAATCACTATTTGTAGATATGCTCGAAAAATCCCCATTGTCTCTGTATATTGTTGTGGGAACGGAAAGATAAATGACAGAAGGTGGATATATACATTTAACATTTGTCCAAATGATGGCGCTAAGATTTTGCACAATGTGGCCTGCGACTGAGAAGAGTTTTTTTACACAGAACCGTGGATTCAGGACTGGGGAGATATTTGCGAGCCAGCAGGGCCGGCTCCTGGATGAGCAGCAGTGTTGTGCCAGTTCATACTTCATTCGGAGGTGTTCAAAGTTCAGTTCATACAGATGAAAATGAACTAGTTCACGCTCATAGTTCATTTTTTAATTGGGATGATTTAGATGACAAACGTATGATCATGTGTTTATTTATTAATCGATGGTGTCGGATCATGTCTGCGTGTCGCTCTGGTCAGTTTATCACTGAGTCCTGACTGATTAAGATTAAGTTTCCTCTTTATTGTCCCACACACAGCATGCAACATGCAAACATGGGGAAATTTGACCTCTGTATTTAATCCATCCGTGTGAACACAGCGCACATGGCGGCGACGACCACACGGCGACAGTGCTACTGCTACTGCCGACTGTGAGCATCTCCTCTCATGTTGAACTGAGCACAACATGTCGACCAGTCACTTCCATGATGTTTAAATGAGTCTCATAGACTCTGGAATCAAACAAACACGGAGTTACTTCATGAACTGATCAGGTCCTGATAACTAGTGATGGTGTTAGTTAAAGTGAGAGCAGGTCAGAGAGGAGGAGGAAACAGAATTAACTAGTGATGAGTGTTAGTTA